AACCGCTCTCTGTTCATGTCGACACATACAAGACCGGGAAGATCCCTGACAAGGATATCCTTGCCTTGATCAAGGAGAACTTCGATTTCAGGCCGGGAATGATGTCTATCAACCTCGATTTGAAGAGAGGTGGTAATTTCAGGTTCCAGAAAACTGCTGCTTATGGCCATTTCGGTCGTGATGACCCCGACTTCACTTGGGAAATCGTCAAGCCCCTCAAGCCAAAGGCCTAAAACTCGTCAGCTGAGCGCTCGAGAACTATCATTACACCGTTATTACCGCAACAGATGAATAAGAAAGCTTTTGTATTCACATTGGATTTATGAGTACATTCGCATTTTTTGTGGACACTAGTAGAATTCCTCCTTTCATCTTTCTATGTATTGTATTATGATTGTATGAAATGATCCATTACTGTGGCCAATGATCAACACTTTACCCGAAATTAACCCGAATTTCGCTTAATCTCGTTATGACGAACAATCCGGTTTAATAAATTTATAAACAGAGCGAGCAATAAGGACATATCTTCATGAGTGAAGCCAAAGCCGATCATGGAGCCTCTCCTCTCCTGCTCCGAACATTTCATCAACCTTTTCGCCGTCTCTATAGAAATGGAAGGTCGGAGTGTAACGAATGTGTTGCGTTGTCTCAGGACATTCATCGATGTCTGCGTAAACGAACTTGAACTTGGGGAAACTGTTACTAAGCCTGTGGAATGCCGGGAGAATCTGGCTACAAACCCGACACCTGAAAGACCAAAGTTTTAGCAGAAATATCAAAACCCGGAAACCGAATCAAACAACGTTATCAACAATATTCGATTTCTGAACAAATGCCAATTGAAAAGCTTTGAAGTTCCCCGGTGAGGAATTTCGTCGAACACTATGTAGGCATAATTCATGAAACCTTACCAGGAGGCGCCATAGTTTATAACAGCCTGCAAAATAAGACACCCAAACAATCAGCCTGAAAAAAGCGAAAGGCTTTGACTCATAAGATTCATGGAGGTATCAGAGGAAACGAATTCCAGAAAAGAATATATGGGTTCGTAACTGGAGTTTTCGAAGACTTGATGTCGTGAAGAATGCCCTGAAGTGTTTGATCGCCTGAAGCCGTTTTCATATTGCCATGGCGGTTGAATTCCGATTCCGATTCCGACTCCATGCCCGAAATCGTTCCCGTCGAAGACTTGTGTTTCTTTCAGTGTTTGGCTTCTGCTCAAATCGCGAGTTTCTCTCTCTTTGTTTGGATTTTGTTTCCTGTGGTATTTATTTATGTACATTTTTCTTTTTCCTTCATGCCTACCTCCATTTTCTAAAAAATAAAAAAAGCAAAAAAAAAACATTATATCAAAAATACCAATTTTTTTTATTTCAATATATAATTTTTTCAATGTGACCCTTTAATCCATATTACTAAAAATATAGTTTGATCACACGTTGATATCATTGATTATAACGTTAAATTTATTTTATTTGATAAAAATATTATAAATTATACCATCAATGTGATATAGATCAATATGATACAGTTGAAAAAGTCAAAATAATAAAGAGAATTTTTATAATGACCTCAAAAAAATTAAAAAAATTGTACAATGATTTAAGAAGTAGGATTTAAATTAGCATTTTAAAAAAATTATAATTTAAATTCAAAATATAAGTATTTTTTCCTAAAATGTTTTATTTTAGAAAACACATCCCTCTCTTAGGGGGGGCTTAGGATATGACATTGTTTGATGTGAATTTGATTTCGATTTTCATTTTAAAAAAAAATATTTATTTATTTTAATTCATTATCCTTCACGTATTCAATCTATGGTTGGATTAATTTTATATAAAGGAACACACAAGCAGTTGATTTTAAAATCAAATGTGATTTAAGTATACCGCAACGGTTGTCTCCGTGGGTTCATGCGTCCAGTCTTGTTTTAAATAAGCGGCCTTTGGATCCAATATTTGGGCCTCATTTAGCCTTTATATTCTAATTGGGCCCTGAAAAAAGCCCACGTTTATTCAACGAGTACTAGATATAACCACATAAAAAAATAAAAATATCACGGAGTGCAGAAAATGAAAATGAAAAAATCGAATATTTACATTAACTATTATTATACTATGTTTTTATTTAATGATTGGTTAGGCAAAAAATGATATATAATAGTTGCAGAAATCTATATATAAAATTTAATAATGATTGATTAGAGAATTTTGTTTCTCGTAATAGAGTTACATCACCAAAAGGGCTGTGTAACGAGGGATGTAAAACACTATTTATTAGGTCTAAAATAAAAAAACTTCAAAAAATAAAATTTTGTTGCAAACATTTTTTTGGAAATAATAATAATATTTTCAGTAAACTTTATAAGTTTTTATATAACATTTTTTGCCTTTTTTTTTAAAAAAAAAAAGAAGGTAACCGGAACATATGTTTCAAAGATCCACTTATATACATGATATTATTCTTTGTTGTCTGAGCTTTGGATTCCGATATTCCCAAAACTTATAACCAAAATATAACATGCAAAACTAAAAAAAAAATAATAAAAAGAAAGAGAAGAAAAGTCTAAAGCCAATAAGGCATTTAAAAAGCAGATATTCTAGAAAATAATTAGATTGGTGTCCATAGAAATAGCAATGGTGCTGCATGCAAGAATCCAAAGTTTATCACATTATTATGTATACATTCATATAATATTCCTCCGAATGTACATATATGATATATAATCTAAATAACCTTATTATATGCATATATATACACACACACACACAAACTCAGACAAAGACAAAGCATAGGTGTGTGTGTATGCATACGACGTACCCAACCCAATCCATATAATAATTCGTAAAGTATTTATTATAATATATACACATTTTAAATCGCTAGCGAACACATTAATCCATTACCACATACACGGGCACCAATAATTTCAAATAATGTGTATATATATATATATATATATGTATGTATGTATATATGAGAGAGGGAGATGTATATCTAAACAATTACTATAAAATTAAAGAATATTAATTTGATTTCATTAGAAATATGATACACAAATTTAATATTAATTTTATATAAATTAACTTACCCAAAATTACACATAACCTCCCTCCATCTCTATTTACCTGCTAATTATAAAGTGAATTATTGGGTTCGGATTAATTCGGTTCAGTTTTAGAATATTTGATTTTTTAAAAACATCACCGTTCGGAATTTATTGAATAGTGATCCTTCTCAAACACACATATTTTTTATTACTATTTAGATTTATTTGTTTATTTATTTTCCTCTTGCCACGATTAGTGTTTCGTTTGTGATTTTGTTTTTAGCATTGATTTTCAGGATTAATTAATAATATAGAGATTGTGGTAACATTAACATCATCAACAGCGTAAGTATAAGTTTCATTTGTTAAATTTGCAGCGATTTTTATTTTAAAATAAAATTAAAAAATCGTGGGTCGAGCGCGAAAAGAAAAATCAAACCATTTCACCATCATATGAACAGAAATTTAGTATATGTATTTATTATTAGGTCGCCGACAGAATGTATTTTTGTTACAAATTTACAGTTCCATATAGTTTTATTCTACAGTATTATTATATAATACGTGAAAAATTACTGTTGTTATCTTCATAGAATTCACAATAAAAAAAAATCCAAGAAACAATTAAATAATTTTGGTTAGGACATATGAATTCTGTCGGCGAAATTGGTCCCACCGTCAATGTCAAGCCTTCTCATTTCCAGTTACCGACACATACAGTGAAACTCATATCTCATTACATTTTTCTCCAACATTAATAAATTTTATTTCTTTTTTATTTTATAAGATATAATATTTTATTTCTAATGATTTTTAAATTATCATTATCATTTTGAAAAAAATATTCTTTCTTTGGTCTACGAGAGAGGCTGTTGAATGTTGAATTGAATGTAGCTTACAATATTCTGATGTAGATTTCCTTTAATATATTGAAAATAAAATATGTATAAATAATGTATATACGTATGTATATATAATTACGCTTGTCATTTTCTCCACTGTTTGTGATCTCCAGATTCGATTAGTCATACATTATACATATACTGCGAATTATTGTCATGCACACATTTATGATATGATATATATACTAATATGTATATGTGTTGGGTAATTTTCAAGAATATAACAAATAACTTTATATAATATATCAACCAAATAAAAAATACCTTTTTTTTACAAATGTTATCCTTTTATATTAGACATAATAATGTAATCTTTATCTATACATTTATTATTTTTTCAGGATATATATAACCCGAGATAGAATACAAAAAATCTTTTAAAATTTTATTAGTGTTCAACGAGATTGAAAATTACGTAAAATCATATTTAAAAAATTTTTATTGCCATTTTTTATGACCATAATTAAAAATCTAAGATATATGAAAAAGTACACTCACATACACGATTTGCAAATCAAGAAATCTCAAACTAATTCTATTTTGCACTTTAATCCTTTCAAAATAGCACTAAACCCTCCTGAATAAAATTTCAATATCATAAAAAATTCTACCAACTACAAACACGTTGTGTGCATTGCACACAACGTGTTATCCTAGACTACGTCTAGACCCATATATCTCTCACCAGTGTTTTCCGTATATATAACTCTTACCAATATCATAAACTTTGTTTTTGAAAATAACAATAATCTCGACAACCTCTACTGCAGTAGAGTTCTCCAACTCATTCTCCAAGTATATATAGATTTTTCCAAGTCATTCTCTCAATATCTTTCGAATATGTGATTTTTCTTTTCCTTCGTTGATATGAATATTTTCTTTTCTTTTATCGTTTCTTTCTTTTACTTATTATCCAGATTTGGTTTCATTCTTCCATTTATCAATTTGAATCTTTTAGATGTTTAATATGTTATTTCCTTGTTTTAACAATATACATAAAAAAAATACATTCTATGGTTTCTCTAGATTTTTAGTTAAAAATCGAAAGCAGTGTATATCATGTAATAGACAGTCAAATAATAATAATTTTAAGAATAGAACATGGGAAAATCATAGTAATTAATCATTTAATCATATGCTATTTTGGGGTAAGTATGTAGTTGGACGGACACTAGGGGTCGTTTCACTTTTTGCAAAATGTTATCGTGAACCCAAACGTAGTTTAGTATTTTTTATGTGTTTAATTCTATAATTGATGATGAGATTAATTAATAATTATGTTAATATTAAATATTAGAACAAAAGAATTTAGCAGATGAACGTACAGTATTCTTGAGTAAATCATTCTTTTTTTAAAAAATAAACAAATCAAACAAAGGGCCCCGATTGGATTACCATTGGACCCACCTGTCTTGTTCATGCATTTTTTTTCTCATATTATAAGGTTTTTTCTTATATTTTTTATAAGTTTTTTCTTATATTTTTCTGCAATAATATATAAATTTCTGCAATTTTTTGCTGTCCTTTGTTAAGGCATCTTTCTGTGATTATATAGTTATTTTCACGAAATATAGAATGATTATGTTAAAGTTTTGTTTATTTCGATATTGGCTTAAAAACTATTTATTTTGCAGATTATGTTGCGGGAAATTAATTCAACTAACGTATCCCATTATTATCTTATCTCAATTGCTTTTTATGTTATATATATATATATATATATGTATATATCCTTATATATATATATGACATAAATCTCTTTATTTATGTTTTACTTTGCACCAAACGGTACTTACGTAAGTGTCTGTGTCATTGCTTTTGATGTAATGATACAAATCTCTTTAATAATAATAACAACAATAATAACAATAATAATAACAACATCAACAACAACAACAACAACAACAACAACAATAATAATAATAATAATGCTGTGGACATATTATGAGCTTAGTCCAATTGATTTGATGAGTTTAATTCGTTTACTATATCCCAAAGCCAATTTTCATTGGTTCTTTATGATTATATCATATTTTAAACCCACAATATTTTGTATATTGTACGAATATTTTAAATTATGATAGAGAAAAAATAAATTCTAGAATTTCTAGCCATTATGATAGAAAACCATAACTGTGAGGTATTAAATATTTGTGTCTGCGGTATTAAGTCAAAAGACGTGACGGAGAACAATCACCAATTTTATTCCAAAGTTTGTATTTGAAGAAATAAAATACGTGTGTATATACACATACACATTAAATAAGGAATGCAAGTGGAGAGAGAGGAGCAAAACCTGACCAATCAGAGAGGGTAAATCTTTACTATTTTTTTTTGTTGTTGTTGTTTTGGGTAAATTAATAAATGCATCTCTCGTACGCAAAGCTTTAATAAGGGCTCCTACGCCTTAACAAGCATGATGGTCAATCGGTCAAAAGTAAAAAAAAAATAATTCTAAATCTAAATAAATGTAATCAAATTTTATGATGGGTAATATCGTTTTTAGGCTATAATGCAATATATAATATGATTTAGTTGTTCTGTTTGATCTGGGTTTTGGTTTTTAGTTTCAATATTACTCGTTTTCTAAATTATTTGTTTTAAAAAATGATTTTTTTTTGGATTCGGAATGAATATATAATATATGGTTTAAAATAAATGGATTAGTGAGAAACCGAAATCATTTGGATTCCGTTTGAATCGGTTTTCTTTGATTCTGTTAATACATTCGGTTTGGTTAAAATTTATTTGTTTACAAATGTACTAAATCATAAAATACTCAAAATACACAAATTATTGTTAATATTTGCCCATAATATAATTTTGAACGTACATACACCGACATGCATGAGCAGTGTAACTTACATTTTGATGGAAAACGCGTTCTATTAAAATAATAATGCGCACTATATTTTTTTTTATCCTGACAGATGATTTTATCGGATCATGATAATTTTATAAATAATTCGAATAATCTTTTAAGACATAATTATTTTTGGAAAGAATATATAACATATTTACACATTCTTTTTGCACTAAACCATGGAAGATATCATCGATATTTCTTAAATATGTTGACGTTCTTTGAATCCTTTGCTTACTCTATCAAAAAAAATTTCATTATTTTGAGGTTTTTTTATATAAGTGATAATATATCGTTTTCTCCCGTCAATGATTTTATTTTTTGTAAAACAAAAAAAGAATGCATTGATATATTAAAGATCATTTAACCGAGAAGCTTAAGAATAACCCAACATATCCAACCGTTGGTGTCCCAATGGTTGAGAGGTGACAAAGTCATTCGATTCAACTTGTAGGGAATGATGTAATTTCTCCACTAAAATGGTTTATATATAAAGATCGGTCTCGGGCCTAGAGTGGATGTAGTCGGATTGAAGGTCCGGAGAACCATCCTGATTATTAAAAAAAAGAAAAACCCCAACAGTTCAACTATATATTATAACCTATATGACTTATTGTGGATAAAATACATACGGGCGTGAGTAATTAGCTTTTATGCATAAAAATGGAATGGAATAACAATTTACAAAAGAAAAACAATTTGACAAAAAAAAAACAAAAAAAAAATTGATTAAGAATTTCTGTAAATAGGAAGAGTATAGGTGAGTGGACCATGCGATTTCATAATGTATTTTCCCACGTGGGTCCAAATAGTGGGGACCCATTTCGTTTCCAAATTGATCATAAAGGCTCATGCCATACCACCGCACTGATCACAAATCCATCAACACGATCTTGGTTTAACTCCTCTCTCTCTCCCTCTCTCTCTCTCTCTCTCTCTCTCTCTCTCTCTCTCTGCGTTTGTACACTTCACTCCATTTTTTTCTTCTTCCCTCCACAAAATAGGAAAGGAGAAAATGGCAATCACTCTTATTTCTCTTCTATTCATTTCCCAAATCCTGGGATCATCATTAGCCAATGCTTATTGGCCTCCTCAACCTGGCTACTGGCCAAGCTCCAAGGTTAGGTCCATGAGCTTCTACAAAGGTTTTAGGAATCTTTGGGGTCCTCAGCATCAGAGAATGGACCAAAATGCCCTCACCATTTGGCTTGACAGCACCTCAGGTACTATGCTCCACACTCATACTGTACAATACTGATCTTGATTGATTCCTTTACATAGATCACGAATCTTTTCCATAAGGGTATTCGGATTCGATCCAAAGATTTTAACTTTCGTAATCGTTATTCGATTTCAGGAAGTGGGTTCAAGTCGGTCAAGCCATTCAGATCAGGCTACTTTGGGGCCTCGATCAAGTTACAGCAGGGTTACACTGCAGGAGTGATAACAGCTTTTTATGTGAGCGAGAGCGAAAAGCCATCTGATGATTCTGATTAAATGCGTTAATTAATGATGATTAGCATCTAATTAATCACGCGATGTCTTTTCACTCTGTGGTTGCCAGCTGTCAAACAGTGAGGCGCATCCGGGGTTCCATGACGAAGTGGACATCGAGTTCTTGGGGACAACGTTTGGTAAACCCTACACGCTTCAGACAAATGTGTACGTTAGAGGAAGTGGAGACGGCAAAATCATTGGCCGTGAAATGAAATTTCACTTGTGGTTTGATCCCACCAAAGCTTTTCACCACTACGCTGTCCTTTGGAGCCCCAGAGATATCATGTAAGTCCACCATTAATTAATTATTTTTTATATTTATAATTTGTAAAACACTGCCAAAAAATATTCATTTCTTTTTTAATTACATTTTTATCATAATAATAATAATAAATTTTCGTTTTAAAACTGAACCATAAAAAAAAAACTAGAAAGAGTTATGCTGAGATTTTTTTTTCCACATCTATATATTATTATTTTTATTATTTTAAAAAAGAGTTATTATAGATAGGCACTACTCTTAAATTTATATAACCAAAGTTAACATATTAGATTGTACTAGGCAGCAACCACACATAACTAAAACAAAATATATTGTAAGGATTTTGTTTTTTGTTAATTATATAATAATAAATGTGAGTAATGTTTTTCCGTTGAATATTTATTATTTTACTGTGGCTTTACGAGGCAAGGAGAGACATGTACATTCGATAGAGACCAAAGATATCGTACGACAATTATACTTACAAAGCATAATTTCTCATATATTTTTTTCATTTGTTTTTTAGATTTTTTATTGTGTTTTTTCCATGTTCTTTCTTTATCGAGCTAGCCAAAGTGCCCAGTTTTATTTATTTTCAATTCAGACAATGAAGCGTGACCACAATAGGACATACAGAATCCGCCAAACATTTATTTTTTTAAAATTAAATTAAATTGATGTTGGCAATCAATTCATGAGATTTTATTGGAATTATTTATTATTAGAATTATATTATATGGTATTCATCAATCGTTTAGACCGACCTGCATTTACCAATGTGTGGTACACGTCCACCGTCATATCTATATTTAAAATAAAATATTTATATAAAATCATATTTATAATTTTCTAAGCAAAATCTTGATATATATACATATGAGCTATTTAGCTAGATCAGTCGGTGATTCTAATTTGATCATTCGAATTAATAAAATATAAATAATTATATATAACGTATAATGTGCAATATCGGGATATAAATATAAAAAAAAAACCATTTTAAAAAAATATTATTATAGAATACCTAATGGTGTGTGTATATATATAAATACTTAGTTATATCGGTTCGATTTAATTTTATCTGATTTAATTTATTATTTCTGTTGTAAACATTCTTCATTTAAAAATTTATGGATATTAATCGCAGATTCCTGGTCGACGATATTCCAATTAGGAGATATCCAAGAAAAAGTGCCGAAACATTCCCACTGAGACCGATGTGGCTTTACGGTTCGATATGGGACGCATCCTCTTGGGCCACCGAAGACGGAAAATACAAAGCCGACTACAGGTACCAGCCCTTCGTGGCTCAGTACACCAATTTCAAGGTCATCGGCTGCACGGCCTATTCTTCGCCCCGCTGCCGTCCCGTCTCGGCCTCCCCCTACCCTTCCGGCGGTCTGAGCCGGCAGCAGTACCAAGCCATGAGATGGGTTCAGTCTCACAACATGGTCTACAACTACTGCATGGATCCTAAAAGGGACCATTCCCTAACGCCGGAATGTTGGCGTTAGAACCAAAATAAAGGGTTTTTGGATCAAGAAGGGATGTTTCGTATTTTATCCAAAACGTTATCCGAAAAGGGTTGAGAAATTTTGGGGGTTTGTCATATCATTGTGTGTTGGTTTGCTGGCGAGGAATAAAGTTTTTGCTCATATATATATATATATCTTTGTCCTAAACGGGTGACAGTCTAATTAATGTATAGTATAAAATATAAATGTTTGCTTAAATTCATCGTAAATGTATCACACTCTAATATATTATGTCATATAAATGTTTAGTTAAAATCATTATTCAAAAGAGTTTTTCATTAAGAAAGGGACGTCTCACATTCAAAACATTACCATAAAGAGTGAGAGAAATGTTGGTTTGTCATATCCATATCATAGGTTCATAATCTAATACGTAATGTAGTCGTTATTCAAATATTTTTACTTTATCTAAAAAAATCAAATAATTACAAAAAATACCGAAAATGTCCGACTTTTGCGTTTGATTCAATTTTTATGCAAAAAAAAAATTGATATTCACATAAAATTTCATATATTGAAGCCCAAATTTGAAATAGATACAATCACATATATAGTGTTTTTTTTTGTGTCAATTTAATTAGGAAAAAATGACCGTTGGATATCAACGAGTCAACATTCAGATGGTGTGACGAGGAGAACAACCATTTGACTTTTATATGCCTATGTGTTTGAATTTTTTTTTTCTTAGCAATAAAGTTTTACATATTCTTTTTTATTTTTGAAAATTTAATCAAGAAAAAATAGCCGTTGATATGCATAAATTTGATACGGAGAAGAAAAATTATTTCATAACCTACGAATTCAACCAAAATTACCAAATAAATATATGAATGCACCAGAAATCTTATAAATATATAGACTTGAATATTAAAATAAATAGTAGAAAAGGGTTTACGAACACTTGCACTAAAGAATGAAAAATAAATAAATTATTGGACCGGCGTGGGGGATATAGATTCTGAGATTAGGTGTCCAAAATTAGTATATGCTTCCAAACAATAATCATACACATAAAACGTTCACAAAACATCGTGACCCCTTTATCTCTTTTTCCTCTTTTGGAATTTTGTGAACTGTTCACTAGAATTATTTTGGCCAATAATTCATTTCATTATAATCTTCCATTATTATAATATATACATATATATATATATATATATATATATATATATATTGCAGTATTGGAATCTTGTCGAAATTTGTCAATAGAAAACGAAATCAATTGAATTAATTAATCTCGTACAGTTACATTTTTTTTACTTTTAATTACTCGTATAGTCAATTTCATTTAGGAAATATGAGATTATGACTAATTAAGATTCTCTTGATTTGTTCACCAAAACGCTAGACGCTAATCAGGCAGCGATCCGACAAGTAGCGTTTACCTAACCCTAATTTTGACCCAAAAAAGAGAACCCTCTGTCTCATTCAGAAGGTTTCCCTGATTTAACCAAACTAATAATAAACAAAAATCGAACATCGATCACAAAAAACAACGAAAGAAAATCGACATCCACGACCATATATTATATTGAAAATGGACAAAAATAAATAAATAAATTATGGGTGTTGGAGCTTCCACGTTAACGAAGTCAAGAACTGAAGAAATGGGACTGATCTCATTGATGGGATCTGCAGATTGTAATGGCTATGTCTTTTGCCGATACTGTTGCCGCCCAATTGAATCGCTACAAATGCACAATTATATCCAAATTTAATACAATCTAAATATCAATTTAGAAAAAATAAATTCCGAAACAAGTCAAGTCAACTTCATAAAAGAATAATTAAGAATCCAATATAAACTATAATATGAACATTTTTAATAAAAATTGAAAAAAAAAATTAAATAAAAAAACTGATAAAATGTCGGATGGATATAAACTTTTTTTAAACTAAAAATTTGAATCATGAAAATCTTGACAAATTTATAGAAATGAAAAAAATGTCGAAATATACAGACTAACTACTAAAAGTAGTATCCCACTTATGTCGATGGCCTCTATTTCGGTTTTTGTTAGGTATATGGATAATTAAATATTATGGCTTCATATATTCGTTTTGTTTATTTTCCATTTCGTGTTGTGTCAATTCTCTTCCCTTTTCATCAATTTAATAATGCTGAGATTCTAACCCCACATTGGTATGAAAGAGCACCTGTGACATGATAATGCCCTAATTTTTTTTTTTGGAGCATTTTTCAATGTAAAATATGCGAGTGATATATATGATGCCCCCAATTTCTTTTTTTCCCCTGCATTTTTCAATGTAAAATATGTGTGATATATATGTATATGTGTGTATATATATATATAGGTATGTTTTAAGGTTTTACTTTTGTTCTTTTTTTTTTTCCAAAAAGAGACTGAGGCATTTCTTCTTTTATATACTAATTTTTCAATCAATTTAATTAATTTCTTTATTCAGTATTTTATTTTTCAATTATAAAAAATAAGAACAACTGATGAAAAGCAAATAAAATAACATACACATACACATATACATATGTATGTATATATAGACAAGTGAATTATCATTTCATGCATTCATTTTGTTGTTTTCTCTTCTTGTGTATGTCAATTTACTTATTTATTTATTCATTCAACTTCAATATGCTGACAGATTAAAACCCTACATTGATATGAAATAACATACGTGACTGAACGGATAATGTTCTAAAATTTCTAGAATTTTCTTAATATTACAATATAGAAGAGATAAAGATGTGTCTTTCATATATCACCAGTTATAATATCCTTTTTTGTATGTGGAGATTTTTGAGTTAAATAAAATAGTTTACTCAACCACAAAACCGACCTTAGCTCAGTTGGTAGAGCGGAGGACTGTAGTTTGAAGCAGAATAATCCTTAGGTCGCTGGTTCGAATCCGGCAGGTCGGATTTTATTTTTTTTAATACTTTTTTGTTAAATGCCATTAAACTGTAATTGAACATTCTACGACAGTTGATGGGCCGACCGAACTAAAACGCCCAATAAGTGGATCGCATTAAAGCCCAATAAGTAGAGTGGTAATTTCGTAACTAAATCTTGAAGGAGGGGCAAATCGGAGAAGCCAAAGAAAATGTTCGAGAAAATTGAAAGGCCAAATATATTTTCCACCCGATTCTCTCCTTCCAAACACGCGAGAGAGTACAAATCCAAAACCTGACCACAAAGCTGGTTTCGCAAATCCGATAAACCTATCTAATCCAAAAATCCCTCCAAACACTTTCTGTCTTCGACTCGTGAGAAAATTGCAGCGAAAGTTCAAAAAGATGTCGAAGAAAGGAGGAGCAACGCTCGTGAAGGATGCTCCATGGCGGGTTGCGTCGGGAAGGCCAATGCCCAGAATCTATCATTCGCCGATTCTTCGTATCTCTCAAAGCCCACATACCGATTACGCGACCGCAGTAATGAAGGTGACTTCTTTTGACTTCTGTTTATGTATATGTTCGTATCGTATCGACTTCTTTGTTGGGTCTGTGACGAATTTTGTTCTTTCTTTTGTCTGGGTTTGGGTATTTTCTTCAGAACCCTAATCCGGTGGGAAATGGGTTGGCGATGGAAGCGGTTCTGGAATCGGCAGGGCCTGAATGCATTGTTCCAGGACAAGTTACACCGGTTCGCTTGCTTGGCGTTAAGGTAATTCACTGATTGTTCCGAGAGAAAAAATTAAATCTTTGGAACATGTTCTACATGTTCAAGTAATTTGGATTGATGGGTAGTTCCCAGAAAATTGGAAAATATATTATTGCTCTTTTACTGTTGAGTTGTAAGCGAGGTCTTGACGAGCTATTGCATTGTGGCATATGTTGGAATTTTCAAGTTGAGTTTGCCCTTGAGAAGTTCATCTTCTGAAGAGTGGATTGGGAAAATTTTCTGATGCTAGTTTGATTTCTATGTCAGATCGATCTTCAGTTCACATTTTAGGATAAACTATTGTTGTAAACATGGCCTCGATCTTGCTTAATGTAAAGGAACTTAACATGGAAAACGTCGTCTATGTTCTGTCCTGATATATGTACATCATTGATCATTCACTGGCTTTCTTCCTCTGTGGTAAGATTGCGTAGTTGGGAGTTATTCATTCCTTCTGATTCTTTACATTGATAGGTTTGGCCTGTTGAAGTCGATCTAAAATTCTTGGAACCCGTGGGAAAAGAGTTGAAGCTGCTCGGGAAGGTAAAGATTCCAATCTTGTAATCAATACCTCTTGATCCGATCTACCTGAGGCATCGGTTACAGAAACACGTTCATCCTTTGTGAGACATAACTATCTTTCCTACAAAGAGACTACTCTGTAGTCTTACTTGCATGAAGTAAAGTCATTTCTGGTTATGGTTTCACCCCTGATTTCTGTTCTTGTTCCTGAAAATGTGCAGTTCTTGGACAATGCCGTGGACCTGATGAATAAATCCTTCATAGACCGTTAATTAGTTAATGCAGGTTTGGCTGGAGGTGGTTTCGGGATCACATGCCGTTCAATCTGGTCGCTGGAACTCGTTAAAGGGTAAGCTTTTCCCGTGCTGAGGAGATTGAATGTGGTGTGCATATATATATAGAGAGAGGGTTTTCTCTTCCTCATGAGCAATCTTACAGATTTGTGAACTATCTAGTTGAGGCTGTTTTAAGAATCTGAAACTTCAAGAAGAACAACGTTCTGTTTCGTTTACTGTCGAAACCTGAAAGAGACGCAATGAATTTTCCGGACATATTCATTGCCAATAGAACTTTGGACGCCATGGAAATCGACTTGATCATTGACAAGAAACTCGACTTCTTTGGTGGAGAGGAAGAGGAAGTTTCCTCGAACACAACTAGGACTGACACGGGTTTCTGAATTTTTTGAGTATCCAATGTTATCCTGAGGGTTGGGTATCCGAAAATCGAGTATTCATTCACTGATGAGGCGAGTACATGTTTGAGGACGGAGAAATCCCAACCTTCGGGCTTGACTTCAGTTTCATACATACAGGCATTCGAGTCGAGGGGGCGGGAAGGCGAGGCGAGGCCACAAGGAGAAGATAAGGGCGAGTTTTCTGGCTATTCGAAGGTTTGGATCATTAAGACTTGTTAAAAAAACAAAAGTTAAGCGACGAAAGAATCATTCATACCTCGGAGGCCATTCATTTCCTTGGTTAAAATGGGTAATTTCAGGTTACAATACGGAATTCAAGGTTAAAGGAACGAGCATGAGCAAACATGTTAGTGAGCTTACAATGATGGATGAGACAATATATAGATAAGATAACCGGTTGATTGAACCGGTTCCTGACATTTCATCGGTATAATCGTAAAATGAATCTGAACCGGCGCTTCCTCCCGGTCCGGTACTCCACATCCCCAGACTGTTATCCCTGTTAGCTCCACCAACAAAACACAACATACCCTAATCAGGATCATTTAGTTGTAATCAGATAAAATAATTCTAGAAAAAGATTTTTTTTAATTAAATCGGGAATTATATTGTTCTATCGAATTAGAAACCAATATTATCTATTTAAACTCATCGATCATCAATAACAACGAGAACGAAAACAATAACCTGCCGCCAATGCCGAGAGCCCCGACGTGGAAGGTGATCTGATCGATGAACGCTGCGGATTTAGGCTCGACGCTATACGCCTTCTCGTATTTCTCTTCCACGCCTTCGCCCGACGCCACGAAGAAGGCGCCGTTCACCATTATATCTCCCTCCGACCTCCAGTTCCAACCCTTCCACTCCCCGTCCGGTGTCTCGACTCTCTTCGTCACCTGCAGATGCATTCGCACGTAAGCATTTCGGTATCGATGGATGGAAAAGTCGAGGCATTATTTCGCAATTTGTCCTAATATACCGATCTTTTCGGTTACCTCTTTGGCGAACGGATTAGAAGGAGCGGTGTAACGGTTGCCCTGACTGTTAATGGTAGGGTTACCGCTGCCGCCGATCCCGTACATCTCCC